TAAATTTATTTTTCTAATTTACAGCATTCAAAATTTCTAACATAGATAAAATATCACAATTTTTATTAAAAAGATTATTTTTCATGATAATGAGGTCACGTGCGCATAAAATTTATCGCGCCTAAAATTCATGATAATAAGCAGAAATAATTATTTCATTTCATTTTTAAAAAGAATGGATTATTTTTCGAGACAATGAGGTCACTTACACATAAAACTGATAAAATAAAGATCCTAGACGAAAATATCACTATTTATTAAAAATAGACTATTTTTCAGAAAGACGATGTCACTTACACACAAAACTTATAAAATAAAGATCCTAGATGGAAATATCACTATTTATTAAAAACATACTATTTTTCAGGAAGACGATGTCACTTACACACAAAACTTATAAAATAAAGATCCTGGACGGAAATATCACTATTTATTAAAAACATACTATTTTTCAGGAAGACGATATCACTTACCCACAAATACTTGAGAAGGAGCTTCCGATAAAAATTCGGCTAGAGAGAGGAGTTCACTGTGTTTCGACCAGAGAGAAAAATCTCATAAGTTTTCTAAGGTAGGAGTCCTCATCTCTCTGAATTTAAATTCTACTAATATATTATTTTATTCTTTTATTACGTTACAGGTGTGAGCGTTAGGTTACGCTTTAAACGACTAAAGCCCATGTCCTTTAGTGGACGTGGCAAGCGTAAAGAAGCAACAAAGCTTTTAAACGAAAAGCTTTGAAAAGTAGAGATGGTCCCTAAGGACCACCATGTTCAAACGAATCATCACGTATTAAAATTTTATTTTCTTCTTTTTTTTTTTTTTTCAAAAGTTTAGGATTGTTACACCTACCTAACAATTACTCGGCCAAACATAGCCTTTGCGATGAGTGTAGTAAGTTGTTCATGCATTCTCACAGGACTAGGAGGCAATTAGGAGAAATCTTGAGATATCTTAGGGGGGCTCCAGGTCGAGGATACATCTAGAGGCAGAATGGCCATTTTAGCATTGAGAGCTACTTTGACGTTGATTGGGCAGGATATCCATCAGACTAAAGATCTACTAGAGGCTATTGTCACTTTGTTGGAGGAAATTTGGTAACATAAAAGGGCGAGAAACATAATGTAGTAGCCAGGTCTAGTGCAGAGGCTAGATATACAACAATGGCTCGCAAAATCCTGATGTAGGAGATGGAATTCACAGTTACTGAGACAATAAAGATGTTTTGTGACAATCAAGCTAGCCATCCATATAGCTAGCACTCCAGTATTTCATGAAAGAAAAAAACATATTGAAGTGCATTGTCATTTTAATCGAGAGAAAGTAGCAAGTAAGCAAATAAGTAATCTATATGTGAAGCCAAATGATCAATTGGGTGATTTATTCACCAAGCCTCTTGGTCATAACCAGACTTAGCAGATTTTGCCCGAGCTGGGCATGAGTGACATTTGTTCTCCAGCTTGAGAGGGAGTGTTGAAGATAAATTATTTTGGTTGTGTCCTTGCTATGGATTGTGAGGCATTCTTGTCTTTTTTATATACTTAAGGACATTAGTTCTATTCCAAATGGTATTTCTGTAATTTGTACATATTGTTGGAGTTTGAGGCCTTTAAAGCCCAGGAAAGCATGTAAATATAATAAAAATGATGTATTTTACAATTAAGTGAAACTGTATGTTGATTGATTGACCCAAGGTTAGGCGTATGTTGATTGATTGACCCAAGGTTAAAGCTAGTGAAACTGTATGTTGTATGTTGATTGATTGACCCAAGGTTAGGCAGTCTATGGCGCAGGTCATTATCCAACCTTTTTGACGCACTACCGTTGAGGGTTTCAGGAAGGTCATCCCTTATTAAAGTCGGAGACATGCCTAGGGATGCTTCGTCGGCCAAGAGAGCTTCATGGTCTCCTGTGTAATGTTGTAGGCTTGTGAAAGCGAGGGTCAAAATTCTCAATGTCCACATGGCTTCTACATATGACAATTGCATTCTAGGAAGCAACCTATAGAAGGTTACATGTAACGTGCATCAGAGAGGCCCCTTTGTAATATAGCGGGGTGTGCATCTGACATTCTCTTAGGAGGAAACTTGTAATCCACATACTGAGATAGTGGTTGCACCATTTATTAGCCAACTTTGACAGGCTAGTCATGAACCCCTATGCATGTGGGTTGGTTTCAGAAGATAGTTGTGGATCACGATATCTGACTCAGGTGGAGTGCCCTGACAATCACATTTGGTACCAATCCACTTCCAGATGTATTTATTAGTGTTTTAGATTTTTTTTAAAAACCTTATAAACATTGTTATCAGCTTTAATTATCATTTTGCATTTTTTAGTGATTCGTTATTCAAAATTTTTAAGAATTTATTCTTTGTTATAAAAACCTTGAAAGGGCTGATATTTTACAATTTAGTAGAAGCTTGGTTTTAAGTGGGATCCATGTGGGGTTGGGGGAGTGGGGCAGAGGGGGGGGGGGGGGGTGAAGGGCTAAAATCCCACAATAGGGTAGGCCACAACCACATAGGGGTGGGATGTGGGGCCCCAAGGGCCACACACCCTCACAAAGTGGGATTCCCCCATTTAAATTTACAATATTACCTTTTGTTTTAGGAATCTTATTTGGATTGGGGTTCCAACTTGGATTAGGACTCTTACTTAAATCAGAATCAAAACTAAAATAGAAGTCCATCTTTATCCTAGTTTAACTAAAAGTGGATATGGGACAAAGAATTAGGGGATAAGGTTCCTAAGACTCCTCCCAGAATTATAATGGCCAATTGTTTGGATGGACGGCTCAAATTTGTTTTCTCTCTCACCGAACATATTGCAAGGAATCCTCTTGGCCAAGGTGAATTTTAATTAAGATAGGCATACCCTAGGAAAACTATAATTTTTTTTTTTTAGAGGAGGGGGGTAGTTTACCCGTTATTTCATTCATTCAGTTTTCTAGCCCCTCTCTCTTACTCTCTCCCCTCTCCATGCCTCATCTCTCTCTATAGTTATCTCTGTTCCTTTGAGGTTGATAGGCGCCACCCAAGGATTCCTAGGGTCACACCAACCCTAGGGCTAAGGAACGGAGCACGCCCAGCCCGTATTGTAGCAGGGTGGTGCCACATAGTGGCAACCCTAAAAGGTTTTAGAAAAACATGAGACTGAGTTTATGCTCTCAAACCCAAGTTCTCTAAGGGTCCGTTTGGGTACCTGGATTAGACTATCTCGGATAAGGTTATCTAGGTATTGAGTCCCTATCCTTTGTTTGGGTAGCACAACACACATGGATAGCATAATCCCGTGGACTAGCCATTCAATGTTTTCCTTTAAAAAACGCTGATAACCTTATTCCACCCAAAGAGGTGGAATAAGTCCATCCAAACTTTTTTAGATAACACTATCCCCGTCACGGACCCGAAATTATACATTCACTTCAATTTGTTGAGCTATTTTCATGTCCGCCATAAAATACCGCGCAACCATAGGCCTTGAGATGAAGAAGCCCTAACACTGTGATAATTGCTCCCTTTTCTTGCCAAAGATGTTCAGATCCTTGCCAGAAAATGGAGATTCCAGCGTTGAGTCGAGGGTTCTTTCTGATGTTCTGAGATGCCATTCTTGTGCTCAAGTTGTGAAGCCTAAGTTTAGGTTTTGCCCCTTTTATGGCTCTTCCCTATGAAAATGGGAAATGACTTCAACTGTCCTCTGTGAATTATCGGTTGGTTATCTTTGCAAAAGATTATGGCTTTTGGGTAGTTTCTCTCCTCCATTTCTAGTTAGGTCTTGAATTTTTTTTTTTTTAAGTTTGTATAGCTTGTGGTTTGGTGTTTTGATATGAGTAATTACATGTATGGCTCTTCAACGTAAATAGAAGAACCGTGAAGAAGGAAACTCATCGATTGCTTATGAGTTTGTGATGTGGCTTGTGAATACAAAACTACAGACACTCAAGAATGAGAAGCTACTACACGTCTTCAATGTCTTATTTAACGTGGGAAGCAAAACCGGAATTTTTGGTATGCGAAATTTATCTGCCTTTGACCATGGATGCTCTTCTCTAAGTGATTATACAAAAAGGGTTTGATGGCTATGAAAGTCCTCTATGAAGAATCACCTTGGCTTTGGCTTCTTGGGAGTTTGAGACAATGGGACACCAGTCTTGAGACTGGAGCCAAAACCATTTTGTATATAATTTCTTGATTTCCCAATACATTGATGTAAATTGAATATTTGAGAGGTAAGATAGCTATATATAAGGATACAATGGAAAGGAATAAGAGAAAATAAGGATTTCATCATAGTTAAGAATTAATATTGAATTTTGGAATAAATGTGCTGAGTTAATTAATATATAATTAAATGTAGAGTAATAATACAAAAACTATAACTAAATTTCCAAGGATTCACTTATTCCAAGTAATCCAAACAGTGGACAGGCATATCCACGTTTCTTATCAGGTGCTATCCAAATAGCAGACAACCCTATCCATGGATAGACCAATTCCAAGAGAAGCCAATTCTAGTATAAGCCTATCCCTAGGATAGGCTTCGCCAAGTACCCAAACAGACCCTAAAGGGAATTTCCTAAGGAGCTTCCCAGTCTATAGAATTCAGCAGGGCCAAAAGTTCAAGAAGTGTGCCACCGGTGTGGTAATCAGGTGCCGAGTGCAAGTCTTGAGGGGGAAACCCTAGGCAAAGTTTAGTAAGTCTTCCTAGCCTAATTTATTGATTTCCAGATTAGAAGTTCCTGATTTATATTTATTTACAAAAATCATATTTGTATTAGAATTCAAATTTGAACGTTTGGACTTGGCCCTTGAATAAAATTTTATTTGCAGTAGAAGTAAAAGATACTAGATTGTAGAAGATTTATTTTTTCTATTTCTACATTGCATAGTGGAAATTGTAAGTAGAAATTCCAGTTATTAATAAAGATATTTTTGAATTTACACTTTTAAATTCTACATAGCCACACCTTTCAGATTTTGTGGGTCACCTTTGGGAAACTTCTGCTTCATATAAATTGGCAGATACTTCACATCCACCTCGCGGGTAATAAAATAGTGAATGTGCTAGGCCCTTTCCTGCATCTCCAATTAGATCGAAAACTTTGGCCAGACTGCTACAGTTTATCAGTTGGCATTTTGAGGATACAAGTGGTGGAACTTGGTCTCTCAAAGATCCATTTTATATCATCGGCTCGTAGCTTTTTAATTCACGAATATAAGTTACAAGCATTAGTTCAGTTACCCAACCCCTCTTGCCTATTTCCTGTCCTGCCCAGGAAGCACAGCCATTGTCCATATGTGCATTCTGAAGAATTTTCTCTTTAACATAACTCTTCATTCATCACCATAAGAAATAGAATGAAGACTTTGCATTCATGAATTCCAGCCAATATATCAGGCAAAACAAAGCCACTCAAATATTATTGATAACTAATGAGTGTAATGTCACTAATCTAAGAACTGATCCCAAAACTTATGAAAGAGAGAAAAATTAATAATTTGATACATACCTCAAGGCATGATTTTCAGTGTCTGCAACATATAGAAGGTTTTTCTTTGGGTTGTATGCCAGACCCTACAGGCAAAGGGATAAGGTTACTTCTATCCATGCAAAACAAACATCAAGGTATGAACACAGAGGACCTATACTGTCATAAACACATGAGATCTTAAGGACGCATGATAAATAATGCCACAATCAAAAGTATACATCAATTTCAGGCCAGAATTGATCAAACACAATTTCAGAAACAAGAAAGAAAATCCGCATACTTTTTTCTTTCCTGATAGTTAAGAAAATCTGCATTCTTAGAAGTTAAGCACAGACACCCATCCAGAAATATTATTACAAAATACAAATTCCATGTGACTTAAATAATATTCCCTACTTGTGGGTGATTAAACGTCGCATTCTCAAAATCACCATCATGTAGACCCTCTTCTCCAGTGCCTCCTACTTGGAGAAAGAAATTTCCTTCAAGGTCAGTTACCACCTGACAGTTCCACAGACTAAATATCAGTGGCAAGTCAACATCATATAGTAACATAAAAATCTAACTTTCTACCCGTGATTCAGTCAAATATGTATGCCATGCACAAAGTAATATATATTAATGAAAGGAAAAGCTTGGGAGTGAACGTACTATCCGATTATGGTTACTGTCTGAAATAAACAGTCGGTTGTTCAAAATATCAGTTGCTAGTTTTCCTGGAAATTTCAAGGGAGAATTCAATAGACTAGCAGCTTTGTCCTTCTCCAAAGCCAATGGAATAGGATGGCTATCTAACATCTTCCGTTCACCATAAAACTGAAGTGCCGCCTCTACTAAATCATCAAGATCCTGAAAGAATTATTTTTATTGCAATTGTTCGAAAACAATCAAGTATGAGAAAATACAATGAGTTCAAGAAAAAGAAAACACCAATATAGGAAGGATAATTTAGTGGCATGGAAGGTAAAGGAATGCATTACTGAGCAAAGGCTCCTAGTGTGGGCGTAAAGGCATGTGCATGGACATGCCTGGGTAGCGAAGTATATTTATAATGATATATCACACTAGTTGGTGAAAATAAGAATATTTCAGGAAATTATTAAAATTATATAATTTTAAGACATTGATGTTTCTTTAGTGCCTCTTATGAGGTTACATTGCATGAGTAAGAGAAGCATGTCTTTTGTCCTTTAGTGTCACTGATTTCGGTAAGGCTTCTCTATTCCCTTTGTGATTTGAATAAAAATTAGCAGCTATAGGATTAAATGTCAAAAGACTTTCTTGATGAGAGTTAATATTAAATAAATTTACTCCAATATAAATTGCCAACAGATCTTAGTTCCCAACCTCAATTGGTGCTTAAGAGTAATTAAACTCATGATAAGTACATAATGAAGATTAAATTACCTTTCGATGACCCTCGCCTGAAATCTGGACCAATAGCTTACCATTTGGCCCAATGAGGGCAAATGTAGGCCACGAATCTACACCCAACTGTCTCCACAGATACATGTCCCCATCATTGACAACCTACGTCAAATAACGGTCTCAACATGTTAATACACCATGAGGACAGGAAACAAGGATTATATAGTAGTCAGTACTCGAAAAACTTACAGCCAAAATGAGAATAAAAGGATTTACTATTCACATATAAATTAATCCAAATCACAAAACTTTGATTTGGTTGTTAGTCTCATTACCATCAATTTCACATTTAAGCATTTGACACTTAATACAGTTCAATCGTTTCTTTGTTTTGAAACATGAATGGACGAAAAACAGAGTTGTGGAGGAGCCTTTAAAAGTCAAAACCATTTAAAACATAAAAGCTGAAAGTCCCAACCAAAGAGAAAAAACCATTGTATTTTAGGCTTTTAACTAGTGCATACAAAAAACTCCTTAAAAGAAATTACAAAGACTTGATCAGATGTGAGTATGGTGTCTGAAAACATCAGCCACCAAGTAGTTGATTTCTTATCTTATCATGAACAACTAAAAGACCTTTAATGATCCTCAGCTGCCTCAATCCCTGCATGTCTCTAAAGTATCCACCCATACCCTCTTCACCCCATTCACAACTTGATGCCTTCCAATAACTTCCTGTGGCTCTTGAGAAATTTTTGCTAAAGCGACTCTCACAACTGTTTGCTTGATCACCATTTCCCAATTCAACTATAATCATGCGTCAACAATTAAAATTCCAACATCTAATATTACCAGTTATTATCAAAGTTTGTTCTATTGTATTTGTCTTTACAAGATAAATTGGTGCTCAAATTATGCAGGTCTTCTATTTGCAAAGCCATTGAAGCTAAGCCTCAGGAGATTCCATTAGTTCTCAGTCAATACATTACTTCTTTGATTTGCTCTACGATGGCCGGTCCCAAGCCAGTCATGCTGGTCCCAAGCCCGGATAAAGGAGGAGGGTTGTGCTAGGTAGGTAGCCAGCAAAAAACTTTTCCACATCTTTTGATGAATCTTGAACCTACTAAAGCAGAATGGTGGAAAAAGATTCATGTAGCCGACCCCAAATAGTTGGGATAAAGCTTAGATGATGATGATGAACATGACATTACTTCTTTGATATCTTTTTGTTATTTGAATTTGAATAACCAAATCTGTCAAACAAGTGTTGCAAAAGAAAAGCATTAGGAAAATAAAGTCGTTGTTAACTTTTAAAAAAATTCATACAAAATTGCAAACCGTACTCACAATCTAAGTTTTTTTTTTTTGGGTAAGTCAGTGGGGGAGAAGGCCCCCTACCCGCTTTATATTAAAAGAAGAGCAAAGAAAAACAATTAAGATATAACCCTTTGGTAGGGCCATTGCGCCAGATAATGTAATAAAAAAGAGGAAAGAAAATTTGGGGGTCTATGGCGCCACGCAGTACCACCGGGGCCAGCAGCTGCCCTTTTAGCTATGGCATTAGCAACCTTGTAGCCTCACGAAAGACGTGTAATGGACCATTGATGAGAATACAGTCTGGTGCAACAATTGTCTACAATCGTCTTTAGCCTCTATGGAGCATTGCATCGATTATGTATGACATGCACAAGCAAGACCGAGTCACTTTCAATCTGAATTGGAAAGCAATTACTTTGAATAACTAATTGAACTCCTTCCTCAAATGCCAAGAATTCCGCATGGTTATTAGGAGCAAAACCAAAATGCTTTGTGAAAGCAGCAATAAAGCCGCTGACACTGTTCCTGATAACTCCACCACCACCTGCTAAACCTGGATTTCTCAAGGAGGCACCATCAATATTAAGTTTGTAATTATGAGTCTCAAGAAAAGACCACGATACCGAAGTAAAGGACTCAGCCCTCTGTTGCTGCCAAGTTATCCGAAGGTTACCAATGATGGCCTTCTTTGATAAATGAAAAGACCACTTCTTAACTTTTGCTATTGCCTGAACATGTGAGGTAATCTTTTTCACAATAAACTCTCTCCTGGTGGGTTTTGACTCAAAAACTCTTCTGTTGCGCTCTTCCTATAGAAACCAAATAGCAATAAAAAAGATGGAAGACCAAATATTACGAAGTTCATGTGATTTAAGCCTGAAAAGTAATCGCCACCTAAGTAAATCAGGGATACAGGTATCGAGGACAAATCTTTTTCCACATCTTCAAGCGAGTGATCTCCATACACCCTGCGTAAAGGCACATTGGAACAAAAGATAAAAAAGATTGTCATAATGGTTACTACAAAAGGGACATAAAGAGTCCAGTTGCATGCCTCGCTGTTGTAATAAGAATGAAGTGGGCAAATGATTATGCAAGGCCAGCTATGAGAACCATTTCGCCCTTGTGTGGCATTTGAAGGACCAAAGTGCACGAAAAATAGGTTGTGATGAAACTTGATGCCTAATAAAATCCCATGCCCTTTTAATAGAGAATGATCCATCAGCAGAATGAATCCAAACTAGTGAATCCTTCTTGGGCTGTAGAGGGAGAGTATAATTCTCAACCTCTCTCCATATATTCCTCAAAAATTAGATGTGGGATGTGGCATATCCCAAGCTTGAGGTACTCCTCTGATAAAGTCTGAAGCCCTCCTCCCTACAACAGCCCCCAAATATTCCTGAATGTTATCATCGTGGAAATTTGAAAGTGGCTGACCTGCTAACCATGGGTCCATCCAAAAATCCACCATTTGACCATTACCAATATTCCACTGTACATTGCCTCTTAAATGAAACAACCCAAGTAAAGTCCCCTTCCATGCATGAGAACATCTTCTGCCTTCAGCCTCCCAAATAGAGGAATTTCTAAAATATTGATGTTTGACGAATCGTGCCAACAACGAGGATGGATTTTCCAAAATTCGCCATGCTAACTTCATCATTCCTGCGATATTGAAATTCGTAATATCCCTTACCCCAAGAGCTCCTTCAGTCATAGGGAGGCACACTGTTTTTCATTTTATATGATGAACAACTTTTTTTCTGCTTCACCGGCCCACAAGAAGTTTCTCTGTAGTCTCTCTATCATATTACATGTTTTCTTTGGGAGAATGAAGGATAACAACCAGAAAACCGATGAAGCCCCCAGTACAGATTTAAGCAACTGAAGTCGACCAGCATATGAGAGGCATAAAGGCTACCAAGACCCAATCTTACCAAATACCTTACCCACCAGGCTATGACAATAACTGTGCCTCAGATGTCCACGAATAATGGTAGGCCCAAATAGCAGACACGAAGAAACCCTTCAACAAACTTTTAACTCCCTAAGAATTCTCCCCTGTCCTCCCCATAGTGCACCAAAGAAAAAGACCTTGCGTTTAGATGAGTTTAGAATCTGACCAGTACTCCTCTCAAACTTATGAATAAGTTCACGCATTGCTATCGCAATAGAGATAGATGCCTCACAGAAAATAAGCACATCATCAACATAAAAAAGATGAGAGACCCCATAGTCACACCCTGAAGGAAACGCCCTGGGAGCCATGCCTTGCAACATAGCACAGTCCAGCTGTCTATTAAAAAAATCCATGACCAGCAAAAACAGATAAGGAGATAGATGATCCCCTTGCCTCAAACCTCTCTTACCTTTAAAAAAACCTTTGGGTGTGCCATTCCTCAGAATAGAGAAAGAAGTAGTGAAAATACACAAGTGAACCCAAGAAACAAATAACTCAGGAAAACCCAAAGCATGCATCGTACCCACTATAAAATCTCAAGACACTTTGTCTTATGCATTGCTCAAATTGATTTGCAGACACATTTTAGACTGATATGAGTTCCTATGGCAAAGAGACATAAGTTCGTTTGCCATGAGAATATTATCAGTAATAAGCCTACCTTTCAAAAATGCAGCCTGCCTAGGGTCGATAAAATCAGCAAGAACAACTCGTAGGCGATTAGAAATTATTTTGCTGATGATTTTGTATAAGACGTTACACAACCGTATAGGTCGACAGTCTTTCATCACCCTAGGAGCATCCACTTTAGGAATCAAACAAATAAAGGTGGAATTGATTTGCTTGAGCAGCTTACCCTTAGTGAAGAAATCTTTAAGAGCCAAAAAAATATCCTTTTTAATGACTTCTCATCCAAACTTGTAGAGTTCCACTGAGAACCCATCTGGTCTTGAAGCACTTTCATTTTTCACATCCCAAATGCATGCTTTAATCTCCTCCATAGTTATTGCGTCCACTAGTTTGTCCTTCTGAGAAGAATTGAGATGAAATGGTGGCAAGACTTGATCAACCATGTGAAGGTCAATATTGCTCTCCTGAGCCATTAAGTCTTTGAAGTAGCCAATCATGTGATTTTCAATATCAGCATGTAGATAAGAGATTCCCATTTTGATCTTTCAAAGAGATAATTCTATCAGTCGTCTTTAAAAGAGAGGCACAATCTGTCATTACTTGAGCAAAATCGCCTGAGTTTGGTGGTAGAGAATATGCTCCTCCCCACTGATTCTGAGGGATCCAATAACGTATTAAATCCCCTAGTGCTAGCCAGGGAAGAGCAATAGTTGCTCCTAAGGTCCTCATATGGTCCCATAGCAAGGCCCTTTGGGACACATAATTAGAGGCATACACTCCTGAAATCATTGAAATGTTTCCATTACAAATACGGGTAGCCTCCACAGTAATCGTTTGATCGTTTACATCAATTAGTTTGATTGAGTAAATTAGAAGATTCCATAGAACTAAAATTTTGGATCTACCCTCAATTTCACTAGCAATAAAGTTATTATAGAATCTCATCTTTTTTGACCAACTACGGCCCAGCTCCATAGGAAGTTTAGTTTCCAATAAGAAAATAAGACCAAGATTATGTTGTCCTTTTAAAACCCCAATATCCGATATTCTGCCCCCGCCCTAAAGGCCCCTAATATTCCAAGCAGCAATAGACATAAATAAAATCAAAGGTTTGGGTGTTTGGTAAGTGAAACCTTACCTTCAGGAACTGTAGGAGCACGCTGGGCCTTATGGGGTAACCCCATCTTGTCACCAATAGAAGCTGGAGTTAATCCTTTGGTATCACCTATAGCTAATGAAGAATGGCCCCTCTTGTCACTAGAAGTTACCAAAGAGGCTTTTAACTGCGACCTAGTTTGAGCTCGAGGAAGCTGCACACTATTCGTATGATCCTGCACTAGTTTACTAGAACCATCCACCTTATCGGCTATTTGCTTAGGATTGTGATCACCAACAATATTTCCCATGCCATCCTCTAGCGTGTCTCCCTGTGGCCCAATCACACTGTTACCATGACCAAGGGTTTTCAGATCCTCAATAAGCAAGTGATCCAAACAGTCCTCAACATCATACTCCTTCCCATCTTTCTCTATGATGGCAGTGACATTAACCTGCTGGAGATAGTGCTCACATATCTTCTTAGACTGGGTAACATGCTTATCATCAGCATGGTTGTCCAGAGACAATAGCGAGGAGTCGCCATCCTCAACAGGTGCCGTCCCAATCACTTGTGACAGAACCTCGACCTCTCCAGACACACCAATATTATCAACATGAGTCATAACTGTCATCTCAAACTCTTGTTGCATATCAGAATCACCCATCGAAATACAAGTGTCGATTGTATTTTGCTCAGAAGAGCTAACTGCCTGCTCAATAGGAGAACCCTCGTTATCCTCATGGACATTGGCTAGGATTGCAAAAGCATTAGATATGATATCCTTTGGATACACTCTGTTGTTAGCTTAAGAAACAACAACAATATTCTTCTCTGACAAATTCGGAAGGGTTTGAACAACATCAGTGCTTTCCTTCCCCATCCTTTTGTAAACTAACTGCTGTCTCTCTTTAACTACCTTCCAACCTTCTTCCCCTGAGGGTAGCTTAACAGTAGTATCACCATTGGGAACTATTGTTGCGCTAACCTTGATGGAAACCTTTGCACTTAAGCCTGCTCGACATAATTCGGGCTTGCGGTCCATCCTCCGACACTTGGAACAGATCGTGGATATGAACTCATAGACTATCTCTTGCCTATAATCCTTTCCAAAAAAATCCAGCCAAACTTTAGTCGAACAAATGGTATCTAGATCCAATGCAACACACACACCCTTGGCTCAGCCCTTGATCTTAATTTTGTCGGTTTATCCATGAAGATGGGTTTTCCAACACTGGAGACAATACATAAAAGAATTTCTGGTTCCCAATACACCAATGGTAACCTTGGCAATTTGATCCAGACTGGCACAATATGGCATGTATCCCTAGAGGGTTGAACTGAAGGATCCCATTCTTGAAGCACCGAACATTTTTTGTTGATAAACCAAGGTCCCCCCGTACGGGCAACCTCCATCTCCTTACTAGAATGGAAACGAAAAATCAAGAAGCCCCCATCAGCGAAGAATACTTCAACATCCCGCTCAAGCCTCCACATCTTCTCAACATCTCTTTCATATAATTCCAATCAAGTCGGCGGTCCAAGAAGTATCCCAATAGACAGTTTTCCCACTGGCTCCAATAAAAGTCCATCACCTTCTTATCAATTTTGACAAATTTCTTACCATTAATAATTTCAGTAGGTGAAGTATCCATCTCCTCAAAGTAAAACACTCCATTTTGGACACCTTTGGCCCCAAATAACAGGTCTGAGGACCATTCGGAGCCCCAACAACTGTTAGGTAAACAATCAATCTTGTTCTTAGGAGCCAAGGATGGAAACTCCTCCCGTACGACACCTTCATCATGAGGACGCGAGGTAGATCCTAAGACCTTACTACCCAAAAAGTTTTCCAAAGGAGGAGTAACAGCCACCTCCTTGCCACTCTCAGAAACACCCTTCAAAGGAGGAGAGGCCTCCCTTACAGGACTCCTGATGACCCCATCAAGATCAACAGCATTAGATCTAGGGCCACGACCCAAACAAGGACTTTCAAGGCCAGAATCTTGAACAACATCATTGCAAGGGGTAGAACTACGAGCATTGAAAAATTCCTCAGAGTGGGCAGCTTCACCTGCCCGAGGATCAGGAGGTTTCTCCTCCATCTCCTCGGTGCAGATCTGCTCCTCAAAGTGCTCCTCGCAGATATGCTCGCCAAAGTCCTCACAGATCTGAGAGAACAATGGCTTGGTTCTCAATGTGCTCCTCACAGATTTGCTCCTCTCAGATCTTCTCGTCGCAGATCAATGTGCCTCACAGATCTCGCAAATCTCACTCGCAGATCTCTGCTTCAAGGTCTTCGCTGCTTCAAGGTCTCTGCATCAAGGTCTCGGAGAGGCTCGCAGATCTCATGCAGAACCTTCTAGCTCTCACAAGGTCTCGCAGATCTCACACAGAACCTCCTACCTTTCGCTGGTCTTCCTCGATGATGTTTTCGCATATCTCACGCTGAGTGGGCAGGGTCTCGTAGAGGCTCAAAGGTCTCGCAGAACCTCCTACCTATCGCTGGTCTTCCTCTATGATGTTTTCGCAGATCTCACGCTGAGTGGGCAGTGTCTCGCAGAGGCTCCAAGGTCTCGCCTCTCAATCGCAGATCTACTCCTCCACCTCGCAGATCAATGTCCCTCATAAAACTCGCAAATCTCACTCGCTTCAAGGTCTCGGAGAGGCTCGCAGATCTCATGCAGAACCTCCTACCTCTCACAAGGTCTCGGAGAGGCTCGCAGATCTCACGCAGAGCCTCCTACCTCTCACAAGGTCTCGCAGATCTCATGCAGAACCTCCTACCTCTTCCTGGTTTTCCTCGATGATGTTTTCGCAGATCTCACGCTGAGTGGGCAGGGTCTTGCAGAGGCTCCAAGGTCTCTAAGTTCCATGAGCCTTTTGTCACATTATGACCTATGTACTCAAGATGAATTAGATGTGTAGAACAACAATTGCACACATAAAATAAGCAAATCTTCCTAGCACACATATCCACAATTTAGTAGCAAGCATATAATATTACAAGAAATGCTCTAAGTCCAGGTCTTCATCCAAACTAATATAAGAAGAAGAATCCAAGCATGTCAATTTAATTATGATGATGTGCATATTTCAACATATAACATTCATCCATGATCTAATGGAAACAATAGATATATTCTTCTAAATTACCATTCATGATTCATTAACAGGTAGTGTTCAAGCATAAAAGTTGGAATCCATAGATTTATGAGAAAACTTATAGACACGAATTTCAACACAAAACAAGCTTTCCAAGTACAAGCATGTCACATAAAACATAATTTCAGCACATATACGATGTTTGCATGTAAAACCTGGAACAATATGGTTCTCATGCCGTGGTAAAAGATTATTCCTAAAGACTCGTGTCTTGTATTACCAAATAGACATGAAAAAAAATGGAAGGTGTAAGCCCTTGAGAACAAAAACAAATCTTTCTATCACTATTTTACTTGTTTCATATCTTGTAAATTTCAGGGCACAAACCCTAAACTAAAGAACAAGACGGTCACATCACGTAAACCACAGGGTTCAGAAGCCCAGCCTCTTTCTGAAGAACTAGGGCACATAGCCACTCTAACAAGAACAGTAAGTAGGTTAGGCGTGGCCTGCATGTGACCTGTTGTCCTAAAGAATTTAGCCTATTTGGTATGGTGTGGAAAGAGAGAGAGAGAGAGAGAGAGAGAGAGAGAGAGAGAGAGAGAGAGAGAGAGAGAGAGAGAGAGAGCTAGCAAGTGAAATTTCAAATTCGCTATCTGAAACCTAGTCATTAAGCCTGATCTTGAGCTTGTTAGAGGATCCCACCTCAGTCTAATGCATTAAAGTTTGGAGGAGAGTCTTCTCTTGTAAAATAAGAAGCTACATAGTTGCATGGTGGTGGGACCTTCATAGAATTGTCCCAACTAAGACAACTTAAAAAAGTTACAATAAACATTTCTCCAACACTACTGAAGAGAATATCTAGAAACATGTTGAAGACATGGACATTTGTCCAAAACTATTTATTTCATAGACAAACCAATTAGATGTAAGAAGAATCACAATATTTACATGGAAGTGTCACACATCTTTACATCAGATGTTACATATACAGTCCACTTTGCATCACAAACAACTTACAGGGTGTTTGATCTCATATCGAAGAACTGCGTTTTGAATGGCTTCCAGGTCTTTCTCATTCTCAAACTTTGCAGAATGCACTCCAACAATCGTAAACTGCCATTACAAAACAAAAGGGGAAATGAAAAGGAACTAATCTGCAAATAAACATCAGTAGTTCAACAAAACTAACTATCGTTAAGTTTTGAGAATATAACTTAACATTCTCTTAAGAGCTTATCCAATCTCTTTTATGAAAATGGAGACAACACCCAAACTAGTGAAGCATAAATACTATTATATGTGTGCTTTCCAAACAGTTATTTAATATTGAGACGCAACCTGCATAAGATTTCCTAACCACAACATGCAAAGATATCCTAAACAAGTGCAACAGAAGGTGGCATTACACTAAGCACGATAACCACAGACCTCATGTCTTCTACATAACTGGTTTGAGTAACTCTACAAGTGTAAAAGAAATTTCCATGGAAATAATCATCAAATAAATTTCCTTGAGCATCTACTCCAAACTAAATCAACAACCGAGTTATTTGATGTGGAGTTATTTGGATGCCAGAGTCTCTATAGAATAAGATCAAATAACATTTCCAATATCACATCCAATGCATGATTCTAAAACAACATACCATATATTCCACTAATTAATAGAAAAGACAAAACTTAACGCACTTGCAATGCAAAAGTAACTTTATTTATTCTCATGTCTCTTCTCACTCATGCAAAACTTGGTACCATTGGTATTCATCCTATTCTGTGGAACAAAGACGAAGTTTACATTACGGGCTATCTTTTGTTGGATTTATGTGGCCATTCAAGGCCGTAACACCATTTCTCTTTATGATATTTGAACTCCACTGGGGGTATGGATCCAAATAAGATCCTTGTAACTTATTGGATCTTCGTGGTCTTGGACCCGAGGAATTGTGTCTATAAAGTCATAAAACCCCAGACCATGGGGCATGAGCATATGGCATGGTTGTTGCCGTGGGAGTTGGGGGTAATCCCTCAATCAGAGAAAATGTGTGGCTCTATGGTCGTTATATAGCCAGGGCATGTGGGGACGTTCTATAGACTTACTAGGGAATTTTTGTGGACTTTTTGTGGACTATAGGCTTCATACAGACCACCCTATCTGGGAAGGCTTGTTTGATTGGACAAGGGCCAAATCCTTGATCCATCGCACAACATATTCATGTGACACTCGCATTTAGGAAGCTGCCCCTTCTAAGTGATCTGCCTGAAAGGCAACTTGCACATGTACTTGAGAGAGGAACCCCACATCTAAGATGCCTGAGTACTTTGTCCTAGGGGGTGCACCTACAATTTACTTCAATCCCGGAATCCAACCATCTATTAGTTGACTTTGATGGACCAATCATGAGCCCCTGTTTAAGACCATGGTTCATGAGTTCCATTGGGCTAATTTAAGAAAGTGACACCTATTCTGGGGTAAGCCGATTGGAGTGCCCAACATATTTAAGTTTCATTTCCAAATATTACCTAATTACCCTCCAAATATATTTTGGAAAGTCCAAACCACTTCAAAATGCTAAAACAAACTTAAAAATGATTTTTGGTTATTTTTGGGAAATTTATATAATTTTTATGGAGAATAAAATGAACTAGAAAAATTGTTTAAAAAAGTTCCAATTAATGAGAGACGGGGTGGCTAGACATGAGGCCCAAATGGCCAATGCACCACAAGTGTCCCAAAGGAGGACCATATGTGCTCCCCACTATTCAATACGTGGATGACATCGTCATGATATAATCAAGGAGGCATTGGTGTATCTTCTAGAAGGGGTATAGGGTTTGGATTGAAACCCAAGGGCTACTGGGAAACTAAAAGACCTACATGTGTGACAATAGTGACAAACTCATTAACACATGTTCACCCCATGTGCAAGAGAGAGAAAGAATCTCAACTTCTCTCTCTCTCATTTCTAGTGACTAGTGGGATGAGAGAAAGAAAAACCTAGGGGGTATGGGCCTCACAATTTGAACTCTCTCTAGATTAATGAAAAAATTAAGAGGGGCAAATTGGACTTTGTGAAATATTTAAATTTTGATTTTGAAAATTAAAATTGAATTTGAAAACGAAAATTGAATTTGAAAACTGAAAATCAAGAATGGAGGGAAGTTTAGAATTTAAATTTGAATTTAGAGATAATGAGGTTAGATCTCATCCCTAGATCTATGACAACTAATCTAGAGAAGATGGCTGAGATCAAAGCCTCTTTCACGAAGATCAATGGTCCAAATTAATCCTAAACATCCTAACACTCACGCACCAAACCTATAAATAGGGGTGCTCTCATCCTAACACTCACGCACCAAGCCTAGCCATGCCCCATTGCTATGAGCACCAAACCAAACCCAGTTATCTAACCCTGGTCCTTTGCCCATGATTCCTATGGCTCAACCATGGCTCTATGTTTCACCAATGGTGCTCAAATTCAACTTCTATCCCACTGGTTATGACTGAGTTTCATCCATTTACAACAAGGTAATTCATCTCTCTGTAAGCCATAAATTCAATTTTATGAGCCATCACCATGCCCAATTGCATGCTGATGCATGGTGCTTCATATGAGCCCATTTAGGCCCAATGTTTCCCCCACACCACCTACTTTTTTTCCAAAGCTTCTTTAAAGATCATGAAATGAGCCCCAATTTAAGTGTGATATATTGCATAATAGTTTCCTTTAAATTGCTTCCAAAATTGGACGATTTTAAGGACCTGATCAGTTGCGCTATCGATAAGGAGATCCAGCATGGGGGTGTAGTTTAAGTCTTGAGGAGGTGATCCTGAGCATTTCTTATGAGAATTGGCTTTCCCACGGTTGCTGTCGTTGCTGCGCCCATTCGTTGAGTCATTGTAAAGTGGAAGGTTGTATTTGAGTCATAAAAGTTGTAACTATAAAGTGTTTGATGTAATACTCAATGAAAATTGTTTCTGAATTTTCCTGAAGTCCATTGTATTGTACCACTACAACCTTCACTAGTTCAAATGAATGGAAATGTTTATGGGGCTACATTTTGGTGTTTTTTATCTTCATTGTGAGTTGTAAACCATTTAAAATATTTATGGGCTACATTGCAGTGTTTTTACCTTCATTTTGATTTGTAAATCAGGTTGGAAAGTGAATATATCAGTCCCTTATTGATGTAATTCTGATTCAAATGTATATGTGAAAAGGCGTAAAGAGTCACTAGTGTTGAAATTTTAAAGCGTATTGTAACAAGGGAGTGATCTCTATTTCTAACATCTTCTACACTTGTAAGAAGAAAGGAATCGATAGGAACACCCTCGTAGTCATGTCAATCAATTATGTTCCTCCAGGATACTGCTGGTGGCAGTGAAAGAGCTACATAAGAGTAACATGGAAGGCCTATAAGCAAGATTGATGAGAGCAAATAATATAACTTCTCTCTAAATTATCACAAAAGCTGAAAAAAATGTTCACATGACATGAATACAGAAGGTTGTACAAGAGTTGGAAATCGGAAATATGGAATTTTAAACACTAAAAAGGGTAATATTGCAGAAGCTTACTCAGTAGTCAAACAGATTGACGCAAAAGTGAATAACTGCAATAGCATCAAGACTTTTGATAGAAGAAAAATAAACTCTGGTGAGGTGATCAATCATTCAAAGAGATCTCCTGGAACTCATTGCATAGATGTAAATTTTTGAAAAAAATATGGCGGTATTTGGATGTCTTCAGCCTAATGGTCATAGAGTTAATGGCGATAGAGTTATACAGTTGTCTCATCTTTGTCAGAATGCAAAGGAGGAGGATTCTGTTGGGGGTGTTTGATTCGTTGTCATCATCAAAAAGCACTGTATTTCAAAAAGGATGGAGGACTTTCCACTAGCTGATTTTGTCAAAAGCAATGTACAGAGAAAGCGACAAATAGTCGTGGGAAGGGTCCTTTAGAGTAAATTAGATCCTTCTGGCCCCATTTGCATCTAGCATGACAACACATTCTTGCTTGCCCAAGATAGAAGCAGAGCATGATCTCTTGTCTCTCATGATCTCCTGTCTCTCATTCAAAGAGGCCAATCCCATCAAAGAGTGGGGGCATTGTGACATAGCATGGACATTGCGACAAAAATATGCTCCTAAGGCTATTTCTTGAGCAATCGAAAAATATTTGGTTCTGCGATAACTCTTATATATTTGTTCTTTTAACTTTTGTGGCCCAATCTCAGATTGTATATGTATGGCCATTTATTTCAAAGTAGCACATAGAGACGCATGTGTTGGTGATGGAAGTGATCTATGTTTATTAAGATTGAGAGAGAAGAGAGAGAGTAATATTGAAGCACAAGATAAATAAAGGGGACAGAAAAACAACCCCTCCTCCCCCACAAAAAAAAATAAAATAAAAATATCTAAACTTATAGTCCCATATATACCATTGGGTCCATAACTAGCCCGTGGACCCCTTTAAATTTAAAAAAACAATGTCAAAGAAACCTTTTTTAGCTTTTTCTTTCTCCAAATTTCCCTTTTATTTTTCATTTATCCCCCATAACCCAAATCCCTTTCCCCTCTTTTAATCCCTTTATATCCCCCCCCCATGGCCGCCTTTTCTCTCTCTAACCCATGAACCTTCCCCACCTTTCTCCCTCTTATTGGTGAACCTTTCCTCCTTTCTCTCTCCCCCTCATCAACCATTTCTCTCTCTCTCTCTCTCATGGGGTATAGAGATGATACTAGATGTGGGGACCATCATTCTACAGTTTTTTATTTGAGGGATGATTTCTATTTTGACGTTGTTACTATAAAAAATCAGTAGGTTGTAGATTGAGATCTGCTACCAATCTTCAATGCATGCATAGATGAAGAACAAGATCTTGTAGCAGACCAGTGTGCGATGACGATCAAGATTCCGTGGTTAAAACAATCTGTGATAGAAGAAAACGATGAAGATCTCAAGGATATCAAAGAGGGGTAGAACTCACGAGATTCAACGCATTCAAATCAGAATACAGCAACGAAAGTGTAGTCGTCTCATAAACTGCAATTGTGACCATGGTTTCAATGTAGCGAAATACATGTTGAGAAAGTTTTAAAGGCTAGAATATTGCGTTTGAAGTTTCCTACACGATTTTCAATGGGAGTCCAAGACTAGCCGAAATTGATAAATTTGCAACTATTTCACAAGATAAATATCAGGATCCATTTTTTGAGAAATTTTCTTTACTCACGAATAATATTTGAGCCAATAAAGAAGAAGGTAGAAGATGGTGGTTTTGATGCTAAATTCATCTTAACACACTTTAAAACTCGATGAGTTTTCTCGAACCACGGAAGAATGATGCAGGACAAAGTTATTCGTATTTTTAATTTTTTATTCAATTTTAAAGGATGTATACTTTGATTTCGGTTTTAGGGTTTTAAAGTTTTTTAGGGATTCTAGGGTTCTTTTATATTTTTATTTACTATTCATTAGTTACCATTATTGGATATTGTCCATAGATACTCTTATGGGTACTGTTCGTGGGTTACTATTCATATGGGTAAATTTGTTATTACAAAGTTTGTGTTTAAATTCGGTTTTTTAGTTCATCTAATTCTTATATGGATATCCAATGTATTTGAATATTAAATTATAATATATAAGAGATAGTAGGGCCTTGAGGGGGTCATTCCATGTGATTTGCATAATAGAAAAAGAAAGAAAAGCTTAGGCTTTTGGAGCCAGCTTGGGTTGATGAGGAAACCTTATGTTTTTCCAACTTTTTGCTCGTGTTTGGCATGTTTTCTTGTTAATTTTACCATTTTTATCAATTTCCCTACATCAAGAGAGAAAGGGGAGGGGGGCAAAAATTGATGGCGAAGAGAGAGAAAGAGAGGGAAGGTTACCGAGAGAGAGAGAGAGAGACAGAGAGATAGATAGAGAGAGAGAGAGAGAGAGAGAGAGAGAGAGAGAGAGAGAGAGAGGATTAAAGGCAAAGGGATTTGGACTGTGGGAGGATAAGTGAAAAAGACCTTGGTTACTTGGGGAGAGAAAAAAAAAACAAAAAAGGGGTTAGGGGGTTATTTGACCCTTTCTTAAAAGTTGGGGGGGCGGGGGGAATGGGGGTGTTAGGTTCATGAGCTAACCATGGACCCAAGGGTGTATATAGGACCATAAGTTTAGATGTGGGGAGCGTTTTTCCCTAAAATAAATATAGATGTCTTTGAACTATATACAATCGTGGGGCAATGCGCCCTATATACGCAGATTCCCATGGGAGTTGCCATGTTGGCAGGTCAACAAGTATAGCTGAAACAACAGGAAAACCACCTAAATATGGTAATTGTTACAACAAGTAAATTGTAATTGTTAATGCAAGAAAAATCACCTAAATATGGTGGAATATTATATAAATTATCACCACATGCAGGTTTCTATAATGGGCATGATACGTATAATGGTCACTACATGTTTCTTGAATGGGCGCGGGACACATAATAATCACTACTATGTCATTTCATAGAAAAATTTGAGGATTATAGTAACTATACTCTAGAAATAAAAAGTATTATTCAATATCAATATCAATAAGTGTTATGCTTATTGGTGTTGAAACAAAAGCAAATGAATCAAATTCACTCTCATGAAGTAAAAGAGAAACCATAAAAATAAAGAGAAATCAGAACCCTCACCGGCTTCCCTGCATACTTCCTCTCCAAAAAGTCCAGGTCTGGCAACACATGCATACAATTTATACAGCAATATGTCCAAAAATCTAGTACAACCACTTTTCCTTTCAAGTCCTGCACATGGAAAATACTATAGCTTAATTTGAACTTATGAAATTTACTGAATCATGATCGTTTTTTACATAAATCATCAAAAAGTAATTCCAATTAAACAAAACATCCAAGATACAGAAACACAACCCTCTAAAAATCACACAAAGAGATCAAGATACAGTAGTCCCATACATAGTCATCGAAGCAAATCTTAAACTCATAGAAAATTAACACCCATAATCATACAAATAAAACTTAAAACTTAACCTGGAACTTAAACAGAGTGTTTCTGATTCAAATTTATACAGAAGCATTGAAATCAAAACCCATTAAATTGCCATCAAGGATTTTGGAAATCCATAATGAATGTTCAAATGAAGGAATGAAAAAATAGCTCATGGACAGTGGCTCATATGCACAAGCCTAAATATACAACCAAGAGATGCCAAAATCATCTTTAAGACAACAGTCTGCTCTAAAATATCAAAATTAGAATATGAGATCAAGAAGAGTTCTATTAAAGGTTTTTCCAGTCCAGTAAGTTATAAATAACTCAAACTATACCATGATTATCCAACAAATTCCATTTGCAGAAGAATTTTCTAGCTCCCTACAAGTAAATTGCAACAGTCAAGGAGCAACCATGTAGAGGTTCCAACATATGCAATACCCGTCTCGGTCAACCACAGCAGTTGAGATAATGAGTAAAATTTTCACTAGGATGATTGGAGAAAGTCAAATCCAAATCTGGTGGCTGTGGGTGGTGTTGAATGCCTCTCACACAATTTGCCAACAGTGCAATTGTTTTTGGTTACAAGGATAAACCATTAATAATAGTGAAACTTCTATTACCCAACCATTTATCAGACCACTTTTTGTATAAATAGAGCTCTTTAGTAACCCAACTTGATTTTCTTTACTGGTATTTGATGTATGTCTTTTAGTATCACAAAGACAAAAAGAAACTCCAGATGAAATTTTACACAAATATGATCACATATTTGTCTAGACACTAGCACCATATTGGAAATGACTAAACTACCAATTTTTTGGATGACCAAAATGTAAATGTTAACTGAAATTTGCAAGAATAGGCTGATTCATTTTCTCAATTCCTTAGATATTTCTATAATACATGCAAGATTTCAGGTAAAATCTCAATTTTGATTAAATTGAAAAAGCTAAAAAAAAGCTGACAAGTTTTGGGTGACATGGTAACTGACTTCCGCAAGTTAAGAAGTATAATAGCAGTTTTGGGTGATATGGTAACTGACATGGTAACTGAGAAAGCCCAATGTCACTTTTTCAGCAATGCATGACATAAATATATATGAAGAGTCAAAAGAAAAAATAAAATCCAATGAGAAATCATGAAAATATTAAAAGAGAAAATATCTAAAATGCAGCAAATTGGGATTACAGTCTCATTATGTAAGACATCCAACAGAAACAAAGGTAAGATCCATAACATATTAAAAGGGAGTACCCTTTGGAATATAAGCGGGGCGGAATTCAGCCAATCAAGTTTTGATGGGAACTCCGGAACCATAGGTGCACTGCCACTGCCATCAACATCAAATATAGTCATACATATGAAAATTATGGTAATCAAACAAAAAAATATTATTTAACCATTCAAAAAAATAGGCGAAGAAATCCTACATTGTATGATGCAATCAGGTAACTACCTGGCCTCTACATCAGATATGTAGTTCACAAATTGTTGAACTCTTATAGCCGAGGATTCTCCTATTATCAAAAGTAAATGACAAAATGTTAGCATTCTGTTAAGGTAATTTAGATCTATACAAACATATATACTTATCAGAGATGTGGAAGAAATCGACCCCATGATATATTTAAGAATCCCTTACATGGCCAACCAACAGGATTTGGAATGTCATAACATCAACAAAATATCTCCACATCCAAGCTTAATAGGCATTTGATTAAATTTTACAGATATTTTGGGGTATGTCTCAATTCAATGAGATGGAAGATCTGGAAAAATATGAACTACATCAGTAACCTTTCCTGGGTAGTGGTAATTGAGGATTTTAAGCACATCAGCTTGGATGAAGGTTCATTTCATATAATATTATTCTAAAATGAATGCAAAGGTTCGTATAATGTTATTTCAGAAATTTTATCAACATCTAAGGATAACATGCTCCTAATTATTTCTTGTAGACTAGAGTATATGTAGAAGCTAGACCTATCAACAATGAGACCCTAGAAGCTCAAAAATTCATTTATTCTAAACATAGAACTAAGGAGCATATTATGCAGTCATCATCCGAGAATCATAGCTTTTCACTTGTGTGTTCTCTCTAGGTGCTTCAAGTTTCAGTTCAAATATCTGTCAGATATCTACAAAAGCTATTTCTAGGGTTCTTTTTCATAATTTTCTGTTTTGGCCACAAATCTTAGTTTAAAGTACATGCCTGAAAATAGTACTCAAATTAAGATCCAGTTCGATCAAACGATTTCCTGGTAATCTTTGTGGTGAGAGAGAAAGAAATTAGAGTCATCCATCCAAGAAATCAGCCATAATGATTTAAGAAATAATTTAGGAATCTTATCCCCTAAATCTTTGACAGATATCCACTTCTAGTCAATCTAGAATATGACCAGTCAAAACTCAACTCCTCATTGGACTAGAATTCCATTTCTCTCACAAAGGGATACAAGGAAATTCAAAGTCAAAGAGTCCTGGTCAAAATTCAAAGATTGAAAGAATATTTTCTAAACACAAAATATTCTCCACATCCACAAAATATTTTCACAAAATCTTTCCCCAAGATTTTCTAAGATATCTTGTAACAAGCTAAATCTTTTTCAAATCTCCTGGATTCTCCACAAGATCTCCCAATATACTGAGAAATATCTGAGGCATCCCACTATGTGGGGTGTGTGGCCCATGTGGTTCCCACAAGTGTGGGGGCTGAGTCCTTGCCCCTTAGGCCCATGCGGGTCCCACTCCACAAAAAACCCGTTTAAATTTTGGAAATTACAGAAGTACCCATTTAGAGTTTTTTGTTCATTTAAAACTATGCGATTTTGTCGAGGGTTGCACGTACTGTGTGATTTGATGAGGGTTGCACATACAGAAATACCCTTTAAATTTTTTTGGATATTTTATAGTTCCATATTTCCTTTACAGTTGGGAATCACGTAGAAGTCCTAGAACTGTGTGATTTTGATGAGGGTTGCACGTACTAGGATAGGATAAAGTGAAAATTAGATTGGGCTGGTGATTCCTTCAGGGATGGGAGTCTCAATGGGGTAGAGCTCACAAGGTTTTAAGAATGGATGGTTATATTTCCGTAGAAACAGTTCAAAATTGTTTCAGTGGTGTTAGAGAATGGAGTAGGAGACTTGGACTATCTATTTCTTCTATTGATTTCCTCTGTCAAAGAAAAATGGAGCCTGTGACACTTATTTTCTGTTGAACTCCTCTAGCTATTGTGCTCCCTGGGCTTCTGGCCTTGCTCCCTGCCTGTGGAGACTTGAGCCCAATTTTGACGAAATTGCTCTCATCTGTGGCTATTTAAGAATTACTTGGAGACACATTTTCAGGGAAGCAAATGCTGTTGCCGCACCTTAGCTAGGGATGGTGCAAGCCCTAACAACTATCTGGCTACTTAAAAGATTTTTACCTCCCTTCCAAACTGTCACTGTAGAGATTTTTTGGTTTTTTATTGTTAACCCCTTTTGGGTTTTTTTATATAGGGCACCTGCCAAGCAGGCATGCCAACCATGTATATGTGTTAATACGCACATGATCTACACTGTAATCTCCTTATATGTGAACATTCTCAGAAAAAAACTCCTCTAGCTATTTTGTGCAAAACCTTGTGTTCGTTGATTTGATCTTTTGCATGCTTTAATATTTATTTAAAAAACAAGAATAAAATATCAAGGCATGCATTAATTGGTATCAGAGTAGGGATTTCCTAGGGAGTTCAAGTTATGATTTGATATCTCTAAGAAGACGAGTTTTTACTCCAAATCAAGAAGGATTTGCCTAATTGCGACAAACCTTTACCAAGAACTAGATAATGCAGGCATGATGGGTAGGCTAAACAACGGCATGGAAGGATCCAGAGGATCGGATATGAAGAGAAAAGGACTAATTGACTTCATTAATGAGGGATCTTGGCACTGGATGGTTTCCATGATCATCATGGAGAATCTTTATTTTCATTGTCTGTTTCACAAAATCAATAAGTCATAGATTAGGACTCGCTACCAATCTTTGACGAATACCAAGATGATGATTGGGTTCAGCAAAATATCCAATTTCAGAAAGGTGTTGGACTTTGAGGAGGAAACAGGTCCACACAAATTCATAAATAATGAAATTGTGGCTGAATTTGACACATAATTTCATCTATATATCATGATCTGTTTCTTGAGGCATTCGCTACCATTCATACTTTAAAGACAACATAGAAGAAGGTCAAAGAAGATTATTGATTTGATGCAGAATCCATCTTAGCTCTCCTCAAAACTTGAGGGCGATTTTTTACAAGCAGGGAAGATTGATTCATTTGTTATCCAAGCAGTATAACTTCTCATCCACAACTCAGATGCTTCAAATCGCATTTCGAGATCTTCAATTATCTAAAAAGGTTATTTCTGCTTCTTCTTCTTCTTTTTAGAATTTTTTTATTTTACGTCTCAAATCTTAGTATAAAACGTACGAGGGAAAATAGTAGCTAATTTTGGGACTAATTGATATTCTTGTGATATTAATCATCAAGGGGTAAATTCATCAGTTACCAAATTTTATATTTCCTTTTTAATTGGGCTTCGTGTGGCAGGTCCAGAACTATGAACTTTTTATGAGGGATGCACATAATAGGATAGGAGAGAGTGAAAATTAGATTAGGCACGTGATTCCTTTATGGCAGTCTTTGTGGGGAAGTCTACAAGTTTAGGAATGGACGGTTATGATTCCTCCAGGGCAGGGGAGTCTTTGTGAGGAAGTCTACAAGTTTAGTGATTGACGGCTAGGATTTATACGAACATTTTAAGGTTTTTTGTTTGGAAGTTGAGAGGATTATTTATTCTTGCCATCGATTTCTTCTGTTGAAAGAAATTTGAAGCTTGCAATGCTTATTATGAGTTGAGTTCCTTCTCTAGCTACTTCAAGCAGATATTTGAGTCTGTTGGATTCACCTCCTGCCAGCTCTAATATCCTTCATAAAAAAAATATCCAGCCCTGCTTCAAAAATGATCAAGTACATTCAAATTTGGAAGTTTTTGCATATTTATGCTGCAGAGAATGGATTTTGTTAAAAAAGAATCCAATGGATGAGGACATGAATATTTATGGCCTTGTTTTGAATTATGCTCATACCACATTCATATAAGTTAATTTCAATGCTAGCATATTATGAGGTGCCAGGTAACCCCAGGTCAGTAATGGATCTAGATGCCCAGGCAGCCTGCAGCAGCCTAAAATTCTAGGTCAAAGGAAAATGGTAAGGATTAATGGCAAAATAAAAAAAAGTGGTACCTTCATTTAATATAAAAGTATTGATCCTATGTTTACATCCATAAATTACAAATTTACTTATTTAGATGGCCAGTGAATATCAATTAAGTCATTAATGGAAGTGACATTCCTTCAGTGTGAGTTTGAGCCCCTACCATTACATACCCGATACATCATCCAAATGCCACCATGATCATAAAGCCATGGCAGAGATAGATAGACATACTTAATTTTTAATTAAAAAAAAGAGAAGATCCAGAAGTGGAATTTTATTCTCATTTTGGATGACAGTTTAATTTTTCTACAAATTGTTTGTCATTTTACAGAATCTGCTATTTGTCAGAAGGGTCATTCCTTTTTCATAACTACCAGTTTGTGGGCATTAGCAATCAAAGTCTACCTCAATTTGCGGGAATTATCACAGTCTAAGATACATATATGCTTTAAAATGGGTGCCATATCCATGTCAGAAGCCTCAAAAACATACCTAGAAACTATAAAATGATGTTTTAGACATGTCCAGAGCCATATCCATGCATCATAGATCACAATTTCAGAATCTCTAAGCTTCAATGCGTTTCTATGGAGTACTGAAACCAAATTACTGGCTTAGCAATAACTTGATGAAACTTTTGGGAATAAAGGTATATGCCCCTCCTGCTTTTATGGTGCCAAATAAACCCTCGGGTCCATGGAAAGTCTGTGGACCCCCCCAAAGTTTTCAAAGTTGAACATGAAACCCCCTTCCTTCTTCTTCTTTGGTCCAGTTTACATTCATACGCCCTTCTCTTTTAGACAATGCACCCTCCATCCACAGTCTAAGATACATATATGCT